CTAAGGAGGAGGGTATGAGAGGTCCCGGAGCTAAGGAGGAGGGTATGAGAGGTCCCGGAGCTAAGGAGGAGGGAAGCGGTTTTAAGGACTGATATTATGCTGAAATGTTTTTTATTTTTATTTTTCATCATAAATGGACAGATTGCAATAATGTGCACTTACCAGTCACAAAGTGATGTTAGACATGTGTGAAATATGGGGTGCTGAGATCAAGTGAACTGACCTCCCCCATCCTGTCCTTAACATTTTCTGTGCTAAAAATATTTGTGTTTTCTCTCTTATTTTTTCTTTCTTGCTCTTAGCGATCCTTTCTTCTTTCTTCCTTTCTTTCTCTTTCTTTTTAAAGATCTATTTATTTATTATGCTTTTTAATTAACTTATTTATTTTATGTGCTTTGGTGTTTGGTTATGTGTTTGTATGAGGGTGTCAGATCCCCTGGAACCAGAGTTAAAGACAATTGTGAGCTGCTATGTGGGTGCTGGGACTTGAACTCAGGACCTCAGGAAGAGCGGTCAGCGCTCTTAACCTCTGAGCCGTCTCTCCAGCCCCTTTTCTTTTCCTTCCTTCCTTCCTTCCTTCCTTCCTTCCTTCCTTCCTTCCTTCCTTCCTTCCTTCTTTCCTTTCTTCCTTTCTTCCTTTCTTCCTTTCTTCCTTTCTTCCTTTCTGTCTTGTTTTTTGAGACATGGTTTCTCTGGGTAGTCCTGGCTGTCCTGGAACTTACTCTGTAGACCAGGCTGGCCTCAAACTCACAGAGATCCACCTGCCTCTGCCTTCCTAGTGCTGAGATCAAAGGCATCTGCCACCATTACCCAGCCTTAATGATTTTCAAATACAAATGGTCTTCAGTCTATGATGAGATTGTATCCTGATAGATCTGTTGTAAGCTGAAACATGTACTAGCCTTAACTTATCCAGATCACAGTTCAGCTTCCTCTGTCTTAGACATGCTTGGACTTACACCAGCCTATATACAGTTGGACAAAACCACCTGACGTGAAGCCAAGTTCATAATGAAGTGCTAAGTAGCTCATGGGATATATTCAGTACTGAAAGCAGGTGGCGGTGCGGGTGTGCTTCCACGCCCCTGTAAAGTCAAAACTCATGAGCCAGGGACAATCTGTACATAAGACACTGTTGTTAACCACAATCACCGTGCTGTGGGAATATCTCCGGTAATGACTTGCTCCTAACTGAAGGTTCCTGCTCTTCAATCAACATCTCTTCATTCCCCACCTCCCAAGGGTATGTGCTGCTCTTATTAAAAGGGCAATCAGGAATCTCCTGAGGGGGAGTCACATCTGGATAGGAGCCTGAAGGGGTCAGGGGACAGCCATCTGCAGCAGAGATGTCTTAAGCAAAGAGAACAACAGAGGCCAAGTCCTGAGGGAGGAGGGTGCCTAGGGTCTAAGGGAGTGCAGCCACGGAGCAGTAAGCATGGGAACAGTGGGAGACTGAGAGTCACTTCTCTGTGGGTTTGCGCTTATGTGTAGTTTGGGAGCTTTTGCGAGAGTCTCAAAATGTATAGGAAACACAGCTGGCCGGGGGATGATGTCTGTCATCCCAGCATTATTTTACTAAGCAACAGAATGTCTCTTTTCAGAGTAAAGGCTGCCTAGTTTACTTGTGGTCACCCAGGGTCCAGGTTTTCTAAGCCCAGGATCACCCAGCTGTGGTTCAGTGACCCCTTTGGGTCAGCTCCTCGTTGACTACATGGACTTGGGCAGCAAGGAGAACTGATGAGCAAGACACCCACTGCTCACTTTCAGGAAACCAGAGGAACAAAGTCCTTTGTCTCGGCCTGGGGAGACTCATGCCTTGTGCGGTGCCCCCAAGCGACAGTTGGAAGGACTAAATGACCCCTCACCATTCTTGGACCAATGAGATGACTCAGTGGGCAACGAGATGACTCAGTGGGCAAGGGGGCTTGCAGCCAAGTCCGACGACCTGAGCTTGATCCTTGGGACCCACAGGGTGGAAGGGAGAAGCAGCTCCTACAAGTTGTCCTCTGGCCTCCAGGTGCTTGCCACACACACACACACACACACACACACACACACACACATACACACACACACACATACACACACACACACACGTAATTAAAGCAAAAAGATCCCTCACCATTCTTGACAAAGGGATGAGATCAGAAACAAAAAAGGGAGGTGACAGAAGGAGGTACTGGGGCGCTGGGGAGCTCTCCCTTAAGTCAAGAATATTAGCCAGGGACAGCCCTTGGGGCAGGTGCCTTCTCAGCAAGCCACAGCCTTAAAGGTGAAACAGGTGGGAAAAGCAAGTGGGAGCCCTGGGCCCTATAGCCTGTCAGCAGCCCAGCTGTAGGAAGCTCAGAGCATCTGGGTTGGGATCAGTGCTGCAGCTCTGAAGGGGCCAGGCCCCACAGCCCTGTCCTTTGCTAGACTCCACTGCAATCCTGTCTCCTAGGGCAGGCTGTCTAGTTGCCCAGAGAGAACGTTTTATTCATGTATGGCCTGGTATAGCCCCACCTGCAAAGCCAAAGGGAGCAGAGACAGGGAATTTGCAGGTAGCCTTGCTGTTTTCGTATGACCCACAATCACCCGCTTCCGCCCAGAGAGACAGAGTCAGACAGAGACAGAAAGAGCCCACGGAGCCTGTGTCACCTAATTCCAACACCTCTCTCTCTTGCCTTTCCATTGAGCCTCTCCAGCCGCCCTTCCCACCAGAGTGTCCTCCCCAACTTCAGGGGCGGCTAATACTTAACAGGCAACAGAACTTGCTCTTTCTTTTAACTAAGCAACAGTGTGTGCCCACCGGACACATCTCCAAACTGCAGCCTGTGATTAGTGGGCAGGCGGAAGTGGGAGGCAGAGCGCTGAGTTTCTGAGATCCCCCTCAGCTCACAGCCCCGCAGGGCCAATCAGGATTTTAACTATTCCTAAGGACCTCGCCTCTCTGGATGGCTCTGTGAAGGCCCGCAGGCCGACTTCCTTGGGGTGTCTCTCCCAGGCTGGAAGGAAACACCTGGATGGACAGAGCAGTGAGAGCACTGACATTGTTCCTGGGGAGCCTGGGAGAGTCTGAGGGTCCTGGATGCCGAAGGACCGCAGGAACTGCAGCCTGACCTTTGAGTACCTATTCACAGGTGGCCGGGTGTCTTGGAAACAGCGGGAGGCTGTTGTAGCAGGCCTCTGAGGGGTGCTGAGGCCCTGCATCCCAACCCCCCACTGCCTGGGCTCTAACCTGTTCTATCACTGGGGCTATTGGTCGGCACGACTTACTCCTCTGTGCCTCCATTTTGCTTTATTTACTTACTTACACGGCCTGGGGTGGAACCCTGGGCTTTGTGCATGCTTGGCACTGTGCTCCGCTACTGAGCTGTGCCCTCAGCCCTCCCCATCTTTAAAGGAGACACCATTGCAGCACCTGTCACATAGGATAGGGAGAAGGACTATGCCAGGGAACAGATGACAGCTGCCTGGAGCAAAGTCGGTGAGTGAGGACAGGTCCACACCGGGCTCCTCCACAACCCTGGGCACCTTTCTTCATACAAAGTCCCCAGCTCTCTGCTCTCTCATCCTAAGTCATGTGTCCACTGCCCTGCTTGCTTGCACACTGGGCTCCTCCCCCTGGTGATGCCCTTGGGCCCCACCTTTACACACAAGCCCTCCCTACCTCTGAAGCCTCACCCTGGTCTCACCTCACCCTCCCCATAGCTGACCCATATCCCCGAGTCTTGTTTCACGACGGAACTAGTGTGTCTTACTACCTGTGTCAGACACCCAAGGCAGGAGACCAACATCTCAGGGGCAGAGGACCCCTCCCCCCCCCGTGTGTGTGTGTGTGTGTGTGTGTGTGTGTGTGTGTGTGTGTAGCATCAGCCAGCCTGGCATGACTGTAGCTAAATACCCAGCAGCAAGATGGACAGATGATCTCCCGGAAGCAGCATAGCTAGGGATTCAGGAATCTCTTAGGGAATCTCCCTGTACACTTACCCATTCTGCAACCTGCTGCAGCTTGCTTCCCTGTGACCTCCGTCTATTCCTAACTTAAGAGGGCTAGTGAAGCTCTTACCCAGCCACCCTCAAGCTGCTGAGGGAATCGCGACCACACAGCATTGGCATTAGCCTCATTATCGCTAGCAGGTACAGAGTTCAATGGACAACGCAAGGGAGGTCTCCTCATAGGACCTTGGGGTCCTCTCCGCATCTGCAAATAGGTTGAACAGAAAGAGCTGGCAAAGCTCTTGGTCGTTACCACATCAGCATAAGCCTTCGAAGACTCGAGTTCCTGAGGTTTCTCTTTCCGGCATTCTTCTCCCTGGCTAGCATCTAGGTTCTGTCTCTCCCAGACAGCACCCGAGTCCCCGAGACTCCACCCCAAGCAGCACCTACCTCTGCTGGGTTGCAGCTGTTCACCGTCCCAGATCCTCCAGCCAATGAGCACTGAGGTCTTGTCTAGGAGGCCAACAGCCCCAAAAGGCCAGCTATCCCCAAGGAGCCAAGGAGAGCCTGTAGATCTATCTGATTGTGGGCTCTAGATCTTCTGAGAAAGCTCTGCCTTACACAGCCAGTCCTGCCCCTCCCCTTCCTTCCCCTTCCTCTTCCTCACGGCCCTCAAAGCCCCTCCCAGGCATATCCTGCTGGGGCTGTCTTTTTTTTTTTTTAAAAAAGTGGGTGTGGTGACCCACTGTCCCAGGGGGTTCCTCATTTTGACTTACTACTACAGAGGGTCTGGAGGGAGGGGTATTGCCACAAGGATCCACTCTCATACTTAGGAGGTTGCAGTGCGGTAGCCTAGGTTTCCCAGAGGTCCAGGTATCCCAGCTGTGTCCTACCCACACTGGACATCATGGGCCAGATGCCCTTCAAGCTCCTCCCAGCCAGCATGTACAAGCTGAACGGTTTCACTCCAAACCTGCATCTCTGTCTCTCAGCTCAGAGCAGAAACCCCCAGTCATCCCAGCACCTGCCCCCACACTTGCATCTGAGCCACATCAAGTCCCCTCAACACTACTTTCCTCATCCCAAAAGCAGACGCCACAGACTTTGTCCTGAGTCATGGCAAAACCATTCTTGATGTTTCCCTTAATCTCACCGGCTCCTGCATTGGTAAACGGCTCTGGAGAGAGGCAGATTGCCAGCGCTGTAATTTAAGCATCTAGATCCAGCCATGCCTGAAACCCCATTGCCTAATCTAGTTCGACGCTGCTCAGTTGTCGAGCAATGAGGTCCCTGCTTTTTAAAGACTAAGCCTGTCTGTGATAGGCCTCTGTCACTTGCAGCCTTGGGGCCATGAAGTTACAGGGTTTTATTTGTTTGTTTCCCTGTGGGGCTTTCACTAGGTTCTGTTCTCACCCTCATTTTGTAGAGGAAACCATAAGAAACACACAGTTCCAGGGATGTGTATTATTTCTTCCCTCTGACTCTGCCCCCTCCCATTACTTTCTTTCCCGACTCTTCCAAGTGACTAAGATTAATCCTATCAGAGTCTCTCCATTGGTGTTCTGAGGTCATATGCCTCCCGTGAGTTCTGTAGCAGTAGCAGTCAGGTTCGCTCTTCCATTCACGTGAGGAGAACGCTTGGCTCATCCATGAAAGCAAAAGGAAAATGAATACATGAATGACTGGGAGCGTGAATAGACGGAATGAATAAGCCCGGTGTGCGATAGAAGCCCCAGCCAGCAGCGGCTGCCTGGACCAGTGTGGTCACCACGGGCGGCCTCTTGCCTTATCAGCCTTGGCCTAACTGAATCGGAAATCACAAGCCGGGCCTCGGCTCTTGTGGCTGCACCGCTCTTATCGGTTGCATTTCTGCAGCTGGTGTGGGTGTGGTAGCCATGCAAGGGACAGCTGGGTGACTGCAGACGGCCCCAGCGCTATCCCTTACACGGAGGGCTGGAAGCATTTTCCGCTTTGAAGATGTGCACCTGTTAGACAGTCAGAAAAAAGGACAGAGTGGGAAAAGGAGGCAGAGATGAGGAAGATCTGCCCCTGCCCTGCCCCTGTGTGCAGTCCGGCTTCTTCCCAGGCCGGCAACACAGAGTTTGACCCAACCATGGGACTTCTTACTTCCCCTTAGGGTTTGTTTTATCTGAGTTGTCTAAGCCACGCTGTTCCGGGATCTCTCATCTGCACCCATCTCCCGTGCCAATGGGAACAGTGATTCCCCCACCCCGATTCCCCCGCCACAGCACGGAGGGTCTCAGGGGCAGATCACGGCAGCACAGGCACCTTCAGGGGACTGTGCAAGTGTGAGCGCTCTCTCTCTCTCTCTCTCTCTCTCTCTCTCTCTCTCTCTCTCTCTCACACACACACACACACACACACACACACACACACACAACCACTCCTTCCTAGCATGCCTCTGGCTGTGGGATCCCTTCCCTTTGGGTTGCTATTTCTTCATCTATACCCTAAGGTCTTGGAGAATGTGTTCAAAATGGTTCTTCAACATCTCAGCTCTCCAGAGGAGCCTGGTTCCAGCTCATTTTGCCCAGGGAAGACCTCTGATTCCAGGCCATATAGGCCCTTTCTTTCAGAAGTGTGGGTGGGTAGGGGGTAGGGCTGCCCAGAGCCACCCCAACCCTGTCCCCCTACCCTTCCAAAGACTTCAGGGGACTAGGTCAAGCCAGCTCAGCCTGAAGCTACCAGGTTTCCTTCCTGGCTGCCCTTCAGCTAGGGCAGCACAGACTTGCTTGGGGCAGGAAAAACCTACTCAACAAAGCTTCCCCTCCCCCCCCCCCCCCCCTGGGTGGGCCCCCCCCCCCGGCCCCGCCCGCCACTGCTGATGGTGTAGAGAATGTCACTTCCATCATGAGACCAGAGCTCTCTTGAATCCTACCACAATGAAGCTAGCCTCAGATACATACATGAACCTGGTTTTTCTGGGCCTCAGTTTACCCACCACTCTTGTGAGATACTGAGAGGGACACATAGCTTCGTGGTTAAGTACCACGAAGATGGAGGCTACCATCTGTTTACTGTCTGTGGGACCTTAAGTAGAACTGGTACGCCAGTACCAACCTCCCAGGGTCAGAGGAGGCACACATGAATTCGCATGAGCATGGGGCCCACAGCACTTGGCCCGTGCAGAGGTAAGTACCGGGTAAGAGTTGTTGAGGTGGATTAACTTAGCCCGGCATTCACTGGGAGGCCCTGCTCAAGTGGCCGCGACTTAGAGGCTGAGCCTTCCACCCCTACCTCCCTAGATCTCTCAGGGGGGTACAGGGGGCAGCTGTGGCCACAGCTGCCTTTCCAGGGGGCGTTCAGAGGCTCCGGTGTGCCTGCAAGGGGCACACAAAGGCAGAAGCTCTACCAATAGATAGCGCCACCGGCTTGCTGAGCCTCTGGTGGGGGCGGAGGACACTTTGTCCCCCACGAGCAGCTTTTCGCTTGGACTTTATTGAAAGGGTTAAATAGAGAGAGATTCAGATATGTGGATAAAGGAGGAGTAGACCCCCGTCATCTCCCCATCACACACAAGGAAACAGGAAGTCCCTGGAGAGGTAATGGGCCCCTTGGTTGCTGTATGCCGTGCCTCCCCTGTTTCCCAACTGAGGCTCAGCCTTTGTGTCTTAGGTGCCTCCTTTTCAGGAAGGCTCTCAGGCCCTCAAAAACTCAGCAGAGCTGACTACAGCTATGGCTGTCAGCTCACAGCACCCCTGGGGACAGACAGATTTCCTGAACTACAGACTCAGTAGCACAATCCCCTTTTACATACTTCCTCTCAGACACCCCACAACACCCCTGAGAATAGACCTGCTTGTCTTTAGGGGTAAGGAGTAGTTTGCAGATGTGTAAGGGGATTAGGGTTGCCCACGGAGGATAGCGTGTTTTATCACACAGGTCCAAAGTGCTTGAGAGGCACACAGTGAAGACCTGGACTCACCCCCACTGCTTGCAATAATGCCACACACAGCTTAGACCAGATGATCCCTGAGTATCTGTGGCCGCAGGGAAAGAACAAATGCTCCCACTTTTAGCCTACTGAGCTCTCGACATGCAGGGCAGCCGACAGATGCCATAACAATCTCCTTAGAGCCAAAACGATTATTCTGGGATGCTGGAGCTGGCAGCCTCCACTGTCCAACACTCCCTTTTCCCTCCTTGTGACCCAAGTGAAAAGGTAGTCCTCAGGTATGCAGGGCATTACCGACCTCTCTTCCCTTGCTCTCCCTAGTAGGATGGATCTAGGTCCTCTCTCATCAGAGACAAGAACCTCAGGCCCGTCCCAGCCCAGGGACATCAGGACATACAAGGTAGGTTTCTCAAGTGAGTGATACAGAGAACTTCATTGTAGAGATGTTGAGGATTCTTGCTTCTGTGGGTGAGCGTGTGTGTGATGAGGCTGAAACGGAGGAGTGTCAATGAAAAGTCAGCACAAACACATGTTCTATAGAGTGGAAAATTACAAATAAGCAAAATAATCCCCCAAAGCCTTACTTCTGCTACATGTGAAATACTTTTAAATTTTATTTTTATTGTGTGTGTGTGTGTGTGTGTGTAGTGTGTGTTTCTGTGTGAGTGAATGCCACGTGTGGGAATGCCTTTGGAGGCCAGAAAAGGGCATCAGATCTCTTGGAGCTGCAGTATAGGCGGTTGTGGGCAACCCCATGCAGGCGCTGAGCATTTGGGTCCTCTGAAAGAGCAGCGAGCGTTGCTGAGCCATCCCTCCAGCCCTGAATTGAGAAACGCAAACTCTAAACAGTTCAGTGACATGCTCCATAATTGTAGGTCATTAAATATACAATAAATCAATTTTATTTGATAATAACATTAAATTCCATTCGTTGATTCAAGCCATGTTGATCATATGGTAGAACAACACGCCCACACAGCAAGTTAAAGTACACTGAAATAAAAGGCTGGCCACTGTTCCAGAACCCGGCAGATACACGGACGGCTAGGATGGAGGGCTGACAGCACAGTGGCTCTGTCCACAGTCTCTCAAGTCATGAGCACTCTGGAGTTTCACGGGCTCCTATAAGCCCAAGATCTCTGAAGCAGAACAGATCTGGAGGGCCGGAAGGACTCTCTGCGCAATTTGTTTAACTCCCAAGGTTCTTACCTGCCTGTGCTAGCCTGAGTCCGGGTTCAGTCTGCCACCTTATCACCCCAGCCACATTCTGTCAACTTGCCCGGCAGGCTTACATTTCAGGTTCTTGGCCTATTGTGTGCCAGTCCTTCCCGGTGCACGAGTGCCCTGTCTCTACCCTTTGATATTCACCTCTCTGCTCCTCTGAGATCTTGTCCAGAGAACACGTGAAGACGGAAGCTGTTGCACACAGCGCACCAGTCCTCCAGCTGAGAGGAAGTGAGGGCACTAGGACCAGTCTGCTAGGGAAGTGGGGGAGGATTCGTACCCAGGTGGCCTTTCCTGACTGCTGTTCTGCCTCATCCATAGGTGGGGAAAGGTCAAACGGGGGGGACTACGGGGACTACGGTGGAGCCCCACCCGTGAAAGTCCTCGAGGGCAAAGGCGGGGCAGCAGTAGCAGAGGGCAAGGCACCAGTCTTTCCCAGACAGCTGCTAGGAGCCAGGCTCCAGGCAAGGTTCTTCAAGGGCCCTC